GTGCTCTTCCTCCCTACAGGTGTTGCCTTTTCAATTAGCCCTGTACATTCAAACTGCTCCGTTAGGCTGAAAAGGCTGCACATTTCTGCGGCGAACATACAAAGGACACACTGTTAGAGAGGTGTTTCTTCAAGCGAAGAAAAATATTTAAGGTGAGCAGTAAAATAAGAGTCCTCTGTAACACCCCGCCCCCCCGCCCCCCCGCCCCCAACGTGTCGTAGAAATAGGCATGTTGAGCTGCTGTCCTGGAAACTGCCACAAATTTTCAGGATTTTGATTTTTGTGGTATGACTGGAATTCTGTAGCCCCTGCTGATTGCAACATTGCGGTTTTTAAACTTTTTTTTTTTTCCCCTCCCACTTCATCAGCCACTTCATCCCAAAGGTATGTTTTTGCTCATATTATTCCCCCCCCCTCCCCTGGTCTGCTGTTTCTATCTACAGGGGAGGGGGGCAGAAAGTGGAGGTATAATTGGTTCCACCTGAGGATCCTCTTCTTGAGTCTCTCTGCCATCTCTGGCCACTCATAGTTCTCACCGTGGCCGTGGGGTGATTCCGTTCTCCACTGGCTGCCGGGGGGGGGGGGCGTCCGTGTGCGTTAGGGGCAGTCGGGGTGGGGGGGGAGGGCCAAGCCCCTGAGAAGGCTGACCTGGGAAACGCTGCTTGCGGGGAGCTTTTGTGTGGCCAGACAAAGGCGGAGACAGAGGCCTTGGAGAAGCGGCGATGTTGTGGAATCTCGCGGGGGGGTTAGGGGTAATGTTCACGGATGACGGCACTCTGGAATTTTTTTCTCTCCCTCTCGGAACAGAGGCCTTCAATTGGCTAAAAGCCCAGGGAATTTGGCTCTTGGACCTCATTCTCTGAATTCGCAGGGTGAATGCATGTATGTGAACATTTTTCTGACACTCTTGTTATTTTTCCCCACTACATGAAAAGGAGTGTTTGCTCAGCTGGGGAGAGTGACCCATCTCCCGTGCCAGCAGGGCGGGTCCCTGATAAGTGTGTGACCTCACCTCGGTTACCGGCGCGGAATCGCTGTACTCTGCCGGCTTCCAGCAAACTCGCACTTCTGTTTTAGGGACCACAGCCCGGCTGGTGTTCCAGGCCTCGTTGCCATGGAGAATTTAAACCAGGCGAAATGGGTTCGACAAGCGCTGTTTAAATCCAGATTTCCTGGAGGAATAGGGCCTGAGAGATGTAACACTCCCCTAGCTCCATGACTCTCGCGGGGTTTCTAGACCCTTGCTGTGGGCCGGTGCCGGTCCAAGGCACCGACGGGGGGGGGACGGGCATCTCGCAGGACGGCTGCATTTTAAAAATACAATCCCTCTGCCGGAGCAGCGGTGACTGTGGTGTTTGGGGGATTCTCTTATTACTATGAAAGGTGTCAGAACTGACACAGCTGTCCAGTATGAGATGTAACACTAGTTGGCAAGCAGCTGCATACAGCCTCCCATTAGCATGTGGCTATCCATTAGCGTGACTTCCCGTTAGCATGTGGCGTCTTGTTAGCATGTGGCTTCCCATTAGCATGTTGCTGCCCATTAGCACGACTTCCCGTTACCATATGGCTTTCCAGTAGCATGTGGCTTCCCGTTAGCATGTTTCTGCTCATTAGCACAACTTCCTGTTAGCATGTGGCTTCCCATTAGTATGTTGCTACTCATTAGCATGGCTCTCCATTAGCACGTTGCTGCATATTAGCATGGCCCCTATGTATCTGTGTCTCATGGAGAGCAAGATGGGGTAGGTGAAGAATATACCTGTTCTTGCACTTGTGAATATGGCAAATTAAGGATCATATAATTTCATTTCCCATTATCATGTTGCTGTTGATTAGTGTGGTTTGCTGTTAGCATGTAGCTGTCTGTTAGCATGCAGCCTGTCCTCCAGTGTGAGCGAGCAGGTTAGCTGGTTCTGCTCTCTCTGTTTGTGCGCCTGCCTGTCTGTGCTGTCAGTTTGTAGTGCTGAACGTGTTAGGGTCTGCAGTCTGGAGTCGGGTGGGGTATCCATCACGCCCAAGAGTCATTGAGTGATCCCTCCTCCAGTGCGTGGTGGGTTCTGGAGCAGCTTGTACCAGCCAGTGTGGAGAACTCTCAGTAATGCAAGGTGGGGAGGGTGTTTGGGGGGTAAAGCTTGCAGGAGTTGGCTGCAGTCCCTGACAGTTACTGTCTGCGAATGTCTTTCTGAATCTGTGCGTCTGTGTGATCCGGTATTTGGTTATTAATAGAGAAGCAGCTGTTTTTGAGGCTACTGCAGTGCAGTGAGAGGGGAGCGTGGCTCGATCGCCCGCAATTAGACACCCCATAGCAGGAGGACTGATGACTCCGGTCAGGTAACATCTGAGGTGGAATGGGAAGCTTGCCGTTTGAACCCGGTCCACGTGAGGTCCTCACACACAGCCCCCACTGAAGCCTCAGAGTGTCAGACTGTCTCCCTCTCTATAAGGCCTCGTGTTTAGACAGAACCCAGGGATACAGACACGGGACGTACCTGCCGACCTGCTGTGACGAGCCATAATCACCCCACCCGAAATATAATTACTGTGATTTAGAGTCTGAGTGAGGAGTAGTTCACTTTAATCTTCTCCTTTTGCGTTGATGCTTTATCTTTGTCTTTCCTGTTAACTAGTCCTGATGCTGAATTCACACTCATTTATGTTCTACCTGAAAGAGATAAAGAAGTAAAGGCTGGTTCACACTTCTCTGCGCACTAGTGGACGTTGATGATGCGCTTCACGTCATTGTGCGCCTCCGCGGGCAAACACCTGCTACACTCCAGCTCTGGACAAACTGCACACCATCGATTCACTCGCATCCACTTTAAATACCAACATGGATGCTTTTGACCAGCGTTGGGGTGGTTTGCAAACCCTGCATACTATTTACAAGGTAGTGAAACTGTTACATACATGTAAATGCGCGTGTGAGTTCAGACTTGTTTCAAACTGAAAATCTCACGCCAGCCAGAAGTTGGCAATGCAGGGAGCTGGTTCTCTGAATTTGATAACATAGAGAAACTTACACAAACCTCACTGCTGTGGTACGTGTGCCGGGAATATCAGAATAATGTTTTATGTTGTTATTTATGTTATTAATAATAAAAAAATAAATGCAACGTGTTCATATGCAAAGTATGCGGCTTGACTGGAGAACTATGAATGTTTCTGTGTTCGCATACGCAGAGTGGACACGCGAGTGTTGCTCTTGTGTGGAGAAGCATGAACCAACCTTAAGACAGAGAGTAGGTGGTACCCACCCTCTCTATGGCTCCCCCCGGTGTGCCTGGATGGACCTGTAAATCACACAGAATCCTGCGGCGATCTCCCCTCCCTCTGGGACTTGATCCCAGCTGAGCATATGATCAGAATCAACGAGACCCCGTCTGTGTGACTCCGAGGAGCCGATTGTTTGGTTGCTGGGGTTGAGCCCCCTAGACTTTGGAATAGCCCACCCTGGCATGTTAGATCTGCACCAACTGCGATCTGAAGACGCATCTTTTCTTGATGGCTTTTAATTTTGGGCGAGCTGGCAGACTTCTCTGTGTCTCTTGTTCTTTGTTTTCTGTTTCGTATTTTATTTCATTGTCTTTCATTGTTTTTTATTTATTGATGTAAATCTGTACAGCGCTTTTGGTCAATCTTGGTTGTTTAAAGGCGCTCTATAAATAAACTTTGATTTGATTTGATGTCAGGGGCTGTAATGTTTGGGGTGATGTGGGGTTCGCGTGCTACGATGTTGTGCCTGTGGTCGCAGGGTTATTGGTTCAAAACCAAGAGTTGATTTCACCAATGGGCCATTGAGCGAGGCCCTTAACCCCAATTGCTCCAGGGACTGTCTGATCCTGTGCATATTTGGATAAAACATTTGCTAAATAAATAAATGAAATGTGATTTTGACCTTTTGAGGTTCCGTGTCACAATATTAATGCTGAAGTCTGATACTGATGAGTCTGTCTGAGACGTCGTTACATTCTGATGCCTTCACCGGTCTTTGTGCTTTTGAATGAGTCCTATTCTGGGCAGGTAGGACAATCGTGAGCTTCTGAATGAAGTGAAAGTTTATACCTTCTACACTCTAGTGGTTGGGTGTCCTGTGATGATGGTCTGTCTGGACAAGCGATGCTATTCAGAAGGTGGTCATTCTGGAATGAAGAGACCATGGAAGGCAATGTGTGCATTCCTGGGCTTTGAGGCTATATCTGCGTCTGCGTGGGGGGGTATTGGAGAGCCATCCGGCGCACAGGGAGGTCAAAGGGCAGCCGCTCTGTCAGGGGAGGGGCTGTTAACCTTTGACCTTGCCGGTTAAGCCTGCAGGGCCGTAGAAGCTCGGCAGTGGGGTCTGTCTGGGGGCTTGCGTGGTGAAGATGGGGGGTGGTGCTGACTAATCTGGGCTTTGTCCACATGGCATTACCCCCCCACACACTCCCACCACCACCCCCGCTGGAATGCTGTTCTCTAGTGAGGCCATGTGGATGGGAAATGACTTATTTTGGGAACAATTTCAAGAGGAAAAGAGCAGGAGAGTCTGCAGGCTTCTCCAAAGGGTGGGGGTTAGGGTGGGGGTGTGGATGGGGGTGGGAATGGAGGCATCTCTGGGAAGTGTCTGAAACACCCGCAAAATGCCTTTTTCCCCCTCATTTCTTCCTAGTTATTTGTTCCAGGAATGGCAGAGTTTCAGGACAGAGAAGCTTTGGGAGTATATGCTGCTGTAGGCTGTCGGTACGCTGCAGGGTTGGCGCCCTGCCATCCAGACGACTCCATCACCGTGTGGCCATGGGGCTCGTGGTCACCTTGAGCGCAGCGTTCTCAGCGTGTTTTGCGCAGTGCCACCTTTTGGCCGTGGGGCTTTCTGCTACGTCAGACGGCGATACTGCTGCCTTCTCCGAAGCCACGCTGATGCACGTGGTGTCCGGCCCTCCCGTTGGTTCGAGCCCCGCGTGACTCACTTCCCCCCCCCCCCCCCCCCCCCCCCCCCCCCCTGGCCCCCCCCCCCGTCCCAGGCGCCCACCTGAAGGTGTGTCCTCAGGGATTTACCTGCTGCACGGCTCAGATGGAGGAAAAGCTGAGCCAGCAGAGCCGCTCCGACCTAAAGGCCCCAGTCAGCCAGCTGAGCTCCACCCTGCAGAGCACCTTCACCCAGAGGAACCGCCACTTTGACCGTAAGTGGACCGCAAACACCCGCACAGCACCTTCACCCAGAGGAACCGCCACTTTGACCGTAAGTGGACCGCAAACACCCGCACAGCACCTTCACCCAGAGGCACCGCCACTTTGACCGTAAATGAACCGCAAACACAGGTGAGATCACCACCCTTCCTTTAAAAAGGACTGTTTTGGTTTTGGCTGGACCCTGTATAACCGGGGGGGGGGGGGGGGTGAGATACAGACCACAGTTTTAAGTCCCTGGGCTCCTTGCCACCATTCCCCCACCCCCCACCGGCCTGCCCACTCACCCACCCCATTGCGGATAACACTCTCGATAGCTGCAGTACCAGCAGCTGCTCATGTGGCCTGGGTGGCCCAGCCGCCAGTGTGCCAGCCACGTCCAGTCACCACCCCCGGCCCACAAATATCTGCCCGGCGTAGCAGCTGTAGCGGAGGGAGCGCCCTGCGCTTGGAATTGTGGGTAACCATGATTGAGTTTCTCCACAGGTGTGTGCGCACGCGTGTGGTGGGTTGTCCGTGGCTTGACGTGTATTTATAGTAGCGTGATGTAGGGAGGCCGACGCCCCCACGCCGCACAGGAAGTGGTCACGCTGATCCATTATCAGGAGCCGGAGGCTGCAGTCATGGCCAATTTAAATTGTCGGCCTGAAATAGTATTGGAGTCTGCTTTTCCCCCCCGAATGCCGCACACTGCCGTCACGCAGCCAGTCTGGTGGGGAGGAACTGGGAAGAGGTCTGGCCGCAAAATGGGAGTGATCTGGAATTGGAGATTTTGCTCCAAGTCCAAGGTCTCCCCAGAGGTACTCGGCGGGCGGCACAGGGACGGGGCAGGGCCTGGTAGGTCACTCCCCTCGCTATCCAGTCTGTCCCCCTTCAGCTACAAGCCCCCCTGGTGGCCTAGACACCTCCCCTTCCCCTCTGGACCAGAATGCCTTGCAGCAAACAATCCCCACTGACTCACTGGATGGGTCCGGCCTGCTTCGACACGCACGCACACACACACATGCACACCCGGAGACACACACGCCGGCTGACTTTAAACTTGTGGCTGAAGTGACATTGCAGGGTGGGGGGGGGGGTTCTTTGTTCCTTGCTCTGACAGCCGACCCCATTCTTTGTGGGAGCCTGGGACACTAGGGGAGGGATGGGTGGGGGGGGGGGGTGGCTGGGTTAAAGAGAGACTGCGGTGTTTCCAGTATCCCTGGTTACACAGTGGGGGGTGTTCAACTTACCCCAGCAGCTAGGAATCCCACAGATCCGTCCCTTCTGTGACAGGTTTGGGGGGGGGGGGGCAGCGAGAGTGTATTGGCTGGGGGTTTTGGGGGAGGGCGCTCTGATCAGAGGGAGACATGGCGGTTCAAGGCCCATGGGGACGAGGGAGGCGAGGTTGAGGCAGCGTGCCTCAGTCGTCTAGATGTATGAATTAGCGAAACTGTGAGGCGTAGAAGTCGCTTTGAAGTTAAATACGTGCTATGCAGACACATTAGGTTAATTATGGAAGGAGAGAGAAAGCCAAACAAGCGTACTGATAGCTATCATTTGGGGCGCGCTTGCAACCGTGATGGAGGCAGGCAGGGGGCGCTCACGTCTCACCTTTTGGCTCCACTGTGTCATCGCAGTTCCCCCCCCCCCCCCCTTCTAGGAGGGCGAGGTGAGAGTCCTCCGGAGCATCTGAGGAATTTGAATTTTTTTGGGGATTAGGAAAGTAGTGGGTGGGAGTTGGGAGATCGCCGGTGAATGGGGGGGACTGCATTATTTTTCTGGGAATGGGGGGCACATTCCATTGGAAGAAACAGGTTATTGTTCTTTAGAAGAAACCGATGAACTGAATATAGAACAGAAATGTGAGGTTGGGGTGGGGGGGGGGTGCACATTCTTCACTAATCCTATTGAAAATGTCCTTGAACGGACTGAAGCAGGCAGTCAGGGGAGAAGAAAAGAATGGAATGTGGTGAGGGGCTGGGGGTGCGTTCGATGGGGGGCCCGTTACGTTTGATGGCCATTAGCGTTGAATGCCTTACCTGCGCTGCATCGGGAAGCGTGTTTTCTGTCATATTATAATGCCAGTTTAGCGCTCTTCGTTCTTGCAGCAGCAAACTGTTTGTATTCAGTTATAAGCTACCTGTTCGACTGCCGCTAACGTGTGCGGAGCTGGCAGGCTGTCCTGCAGGACGACGTGCGTGTTACAGGTTAAAGGCAAGCGAGGTACAGTCTGCCTCTTTGCAAACGCTGTCCCTCACTCTGTTTACCGCACAGAGCAGCACTTTGCACGTCGCGCTTCACTATTCCAGCCATTTCTTTCATTGATCTTATATGTATTCCATATATTTATCTTTCATTTAGCCGTATCTTCTGTTGCAGCCACACGTTTCACGTTTCTTCCACAAGCGGCCACTTCTTCCCTGGCAGTGTGTCGCCCATAATGTGGCCCAGTGCCCCTGTGATATCTGCTGCTGGCTGATCCTGTCGGGTGTTTATTTATATACACTGACTGGATGGTTCTGCTAACAATTCCTGTGTGCTGATGTACAACAGGCAAAGAATTTTGTGCGTGCGCGTGTGTGTCATGTATATATTACGTCATGAAATGTCCCCACAATGTGATAAAAACCTGTTACTTTGACTTGGCGGGTGACTGCTTTTCAGGTCCCCACAAGGAGAAACACTGTTTTATAAAAATTAATGACTGCAATCAAAAAACTAAAAATGCCAGAAGTCTTGTATTTTGTTTGCTTGCTTATGGTAAAGGTTTGGGCTGCGTGGGGTTAAGGTTGTTGTTGGGGTTTGGGTTATGTACGTAGAAATGAATGGGGAGTCCCCATAAATATATGAATACAAACGTGTGTGTGAACTGTTTATGTCCCATGATGCACTGCTGTCCGATTTGCGGTGTCCCCCCGTCCCATATGTAAGCACCTCCCTTGGAGTCCCTCTCTCCTAAGCGTGCCCCTCCTCCGCAGAGTTCTTCCGCGAGCTGCTGGACAACGCCGAGCGCTCCCTGCACGACATGTTCGTCCGCACCTACGGCCAGATGTACGTGAAGAACGCCGAGCTCTTCAAGCGCTTCTTCCGCGAGCTGCGGCGCTACTACGCGGCCGGCGCCGGCGCCGTCGATCTCGACGGCATGCTGGCCGACTTCTGGGCGGAGCTCCTGGAGCGCATGTTCCGGCTGGTCAACGTGCAGTACGAGTTCAGCGACGCCTACATGGAGTGCGTGAGCCGGCACACCGAGCAGCTCCGCCCCTTCGGCGACGTGCCGCGTAAGCTCCGCCTACAGCTGACGCGTGCCTTCGTGGCGGCGCGCACCTTCACCCGCGGCCTGGCTCTGCTGCCCGACGTTGTGGCCAAGGTTTCCACGGTAAGTGTGTGTGTGTGTGTGTGTGTGTGTGGGGGGGGGGGGGTGATTGGGGGGGCTGCTTCTGCAATGATACCTGTGTATGCTGGCTTGGAAGTATTTACCTTTTAACATATCGGCTCTGCTGGGCTGTGAACAGAAACAGCTGCTACGTGTTCCTGAACTTAGGGAGTGACTGGTCGTTTAGAGTTCACCTGAGCTTCAAACCAGTACAAATACACCCGTCCGTCCATCGAACCCCTCCCTTCCTCAGTCCAGGTTCATGGTGGGGGGCACCGAGTCTATCCCTGACAGCATAGGGCACCCAGTAGCACCTGCATAATGCTTTTGATTACTTGTATGGATTTCTGAAATCCATAATTATTATAAAGTGTATGTCATTATTTTGTTTGTTGAATAAGCTGATGTTATATTCTGTATACAAAATGCAGGATTGTCAGGTCTAGTAAAACTGAATCCAAGAAAGTAGGACCAGAATCGACATCCACTAAACCTGACTTGGGAATCAGATTTGTGGAGGGAGGGGGGGGCAGCTGGGGTGTGGTCTGACTGATCTGTGTTTGGGGAGGTGAGTTTCTCCCTGATCAAGGAGTGGGCTCTGTGTGTGTGTGTGTGTGTGTGTGTGTGTGTGTGTGTGTGTGTGTGTGTGTGTGTGTGTGTGTGTAGACGCTCCCTAACCGCACGCATCCCCCCCCTGCAGGTCAGTGCTTCTCCAGGCTGTGCCCGTGCAGCCATGAAAATGCTCTACTGCCCTTACTGCTCGGGCCAGGTGGCACTGAAGCCGTGCCAGAGGTACTGCATCAACGTGCTGCGCGGCTGCCTGGCCAACCAGGCCGACCTGGACTCCGAGTGGAACAACTTCCTGGGTAAGCCGGGGTCGCGCTCGGGGAGGCCGCTGTCACGGGCCGTCATAAAACCAGGGACGGGCTGGTGGCGCCTAACCTCATTGGCTAAGGTGGTTCCCCCGTAGCACTTTACATGTCGGTCATTAGATGGCGCTCTTCCCCAGCTTTTACCTGGCTAGTGTGTGAATGTGTGAGCAGTGCACCAGACTAGGTATGTACTTAACCAGGGTTGCAAATTATTTAAAATATCTTAAATAGCAATATTGTAAGGTTAAGTCTTTTAGTGTAAGCATATATTAAATATTGTGAAAAGACATGGTTGGCGAATGGCAAAGTGAGGGTCAACGATGTCTCTGTGCCTCCCCCTTGTGGTGAACAGCAGCAATGGCAGATGTCTTGATTTTCTCTGGATACACAGAGTAGTAGTAAGGGTAGAATTGTGATACATCTTTGTCCTCTTATCTTCCAGATGCCATGCTGAGCCTGGCAGAGAGACTGGAGGGGCCGTTTAATTTTGAGTCGGTGATGGACCCGATTGACGTGAAGATCTCCGATGCCATCATGAACATGCAGGAGAACAGCATGCAAGTGTCGCAAAAGGTCAGCCTGTCCCTCCTGTTCCCAGTGGCCTTTATCCCTGTTGTCTCGGGCGAATGGTCGCGGGAAAGGCCTGGCTCAAACCACAATGAAAGTGGGGGTGTGGCCAAAGTGTGCTGACAGTGCCTGATTGGGTGGTTAACCATGTATTGCTACAGATGTGTCTTAACGATGACGATGGGTGGGGGGGGGTTGATAATGGGGTTTGTGTTGTTCATGCCTAACGGTGTCCTTATTGACCAACCTCCCTCGTCCAAACCGTGGTAGGTGTTCCAGGGTTGTGGGCAGCCCAAACCAGCCATGAACTTCCGATCCCGGCGCGCCGTGAGTGAGGTCGGCTACACTGGCCGCTTCCGGCCGTACAGCCCGGACGCACGGCCCACCACCGCTGCTGGCACCAGTCTGGACAGACTGGTATGTGGACTTCAGCTTCCTGCTTCATTTGGCTTCAGATCATATGCTGCTTCCTGCCTGGACACCAACCTGCAACTCATGGGTCACCTTCAAAGTTTGTTAACCGTGGAAACATCTGCTGTTCACGGGCGATAAAGCCGCTGATTATTATTAATCCGGCAACCTGGATTTAGCCTCGTTACCTGCCAAACCGCTTCCTGTTTCGAAAGCAGGCAGGTATCTTGGGTTTTGAAGCTTGGCTGTTAATCGGCTCGTGTCCTTTGAAGCCAGGGGCTTACGGGAGTGAATCATCACTTTCTGTGTGTTTGTAGAAGGTTGTGAGTATTGTGAGCCATCTTTGCTGGAAGTTGGAAGGGCAGCGTGAACCGGAAGGAAGTCACGAGTAAATTGGCTGTATTCTGTGAAGTCACGAGTAAAGTGGCTGTATTCTGTGAAGTCACGAGTAAAGTGGCTGTATTCGGTGAAGTCACGAGTAAAGTGGCTGTATTCTGTGCACCCTTGAGAGTAATGAAACGGAGAACGGTGTTTCATTAAAATAGCGGCAATAACATGCTCTCCCTCATTATTTCCTTCATGGCCGTTAATCGCAAAGCGGGGATTTGCTTCCTCGCTCTGTGCAAACCATGTTTATATTTATTTGAATTAGAAAAAGGAAAAGCCCTGAGCTGCGCACACAGGAGTGCTATTACGTTGTTAGCTGCTGCCCCACTGCTTGTGTAGAAGTACAAAGTGGGTCCGCTTCTTCTGCGTGCAGTCAGATGTATTTAAGCTGTACATCCTGAGCTTTGGGGTCCTTCACCTGCCCCGCCCCCACACACACACGCGTTCCCCCTCTTCGTCCAGGTGACAGACGTGAAGAAGAAACTGAAGCATGCCAAGAAGTTCTGGTCCACGCTGCCGGAGACCGTCTGTGTTGGGGAGAGGGTCGGCCCCAATGATGACTGCTGGAACGGTACTGCCAAGAGCAGGTGAGTGAAGTTCTGGGTGTGATGTGTAGAGTGGATAGATGGACATTGAAGAGCTGGACCTGCTACAAAACGGGTTCTGCTTTAGGCTTGTTGGTTCCTAACCTAGCAATATCTCAATGCTGAATAAATATGGCTTATCCTATCCAAATGTCAGCTCATTTGTTGCTGCAATATTAGTAATCCTTATAGATCTCATACATCAAGGGTAATACCAGGGGAGATTTTTTTCCTTCAGGATTTGTTTTCCTCCTCCTCAGATACGAGTCGGACCTCACAGACAGCGGATTGGCCAATCAGGTGTCGAACCCTGATGTGGAAGTGGACATCACCAAGCCCGATGCAGTTATCCGGAGGCAGATCATGGTCCTGAGGGAGATGACCAGCTGGCTGAAGGCCGCCCACAGCGGCAACGACATCACCACAGACAACGGTGAGGACCGGGAGGCATTCGGCATTTCAGGCGACTGAACAGGCTGAAATTTAAGTCAGAATAACAGATGGGATGCTCTCGAAAGCACGACATGCACTGTAATTCTGTCCAAGTCCTTGTGTATCCTGTTATCGACATTTGTCCCACTTCTGCCCATGTTAACACTTTGCTTTTTGTGCCCCGCAGAGGTTGGCAGTGGTGGTGAGGAGAGTGGCAGTGGGTGTGACTCGCCATCCTGTCAGGACATTTACTTCTCCACCGCGGCTCCTATCGTGCCTCGACTGGTCAAGGTTGCACATAAGGAGCCGAATAGTGGTGCCGCCCTGTTGGCCATACATGGTACTACCTTGGCCGGGCTTGCCCTGGCTCTGCTCATTGTGCACGGGAGATAAAGGCCAAGGAAAGAGGGAAAAGGAGACCCTGAGAAAGGACAATACAACAGCCCTCTGGTTTTTGGCGTGTCCACCATGTGGAAGACTCTTGACTTACAGTAATTTCACATTTTAATTTGATTGGTTTATGTGAACGGACATTAAGCATTCAGCGAAGGGATTTAACTCTTGGACACTCCGCCTTCAGATTTTACATTTAATCGTCAATGACTTTTTCTTCATTTTTTTTTTTTTAAACCCCCATCATTCACATTGTTGGACGCTGTACCTCCATTTTTTTAATGACTGTGATTTAGAGATTTGCGTGCGTGTGTGTTTGTGCGTGCGTGCGTGTGCGTGCGCACCTGTATACCTGCCTTTGCCCAAGCAGCACAATTGCTTAAAAAAGTGTCTTATGGAATTTGCCCATTTTAAAAATAACAAATGTTAAGAATGTTCAAGTGTGTGATCGTGTGCGTGTGAATGGAAAAATTCAGTAGGGGAGGGGCAGCCGGAGATGTGTTTTGGGGAAAGGGGGAGTAGGTAAGAATATGGATGCCATAGGTGGCCTTTCCTCATTTTAAAATCCAGGCTTTACCGTGAACTGGCTGAGAACATGAGAAAAATTAGTAAACGGGGTTGTGTTCAGCAGTTCCTGGTCAGTGAAACAGACCCCTGTTTGATGCATCAGAACCACAGCCTGGTTCCAAGTGTGCAGTGGGAACATAGAGCTGAAGCTGGGAGCAAATGAATCCCCAGTTTCTCTTTCAGCTGGGGGGATGTTGGAAGCCTGAGGTCTGGGGTACGAGGGACAAGTCTGAGGGCACCTCGTCCAAGTCGAGCTGCTTAACTCAAACCCAAAGAGTCTGGGTGTAGCGCCATCTGCCTGTAGGAGGAGATCCAACACATGGCCTGTTTCGGTATGACAGCACTCTAAAAGATACTTTTACGGTTAAAAGTTTTCATTTTCAATCATTAAAGTAAGTGCTGGATGGAGCAAAACGATGCAGGAGCGTTTGAAGGCGTCTGTTAGCGATATGTAATTTTAATTGTGGTACCATGGCAAAGTTAACTCGATTGCACAGTGCTGGGGAGAGACAGGAAGGCAGCTCCGTCCCTTAGATGTCGGTTTTGCTGCTTGTAACTAAGCAACGACTTCTCTTCTTACTCATGCAGTTACATGCCGACTTTGTCGGTGCTGTGCTTCTCACACCCACACTGTACCAGTTCTCATTTCTGGTTTTATTTTTATTCTGGATCCCAGGATATAATGCACCATTCAGTCCCAATATCTGTCTCATATCCTTTTATCTCAGTCAATCATCCATGGTCACAGGACAAAGGTTTACCCGACAGTTATGCTCGTGTTTGCTAATGTAATTGTGTGTATGTGAAAACCAGCGTCCATGCTGTTCTTAAAATGCCTGACTGACTTTGGGGATGTTTTTAATTAGTCCACTGTACCTGTTATTTGCATAAATCACCTCACAATACTATTCCAAATCTTGTAGCTCTTGTACAGTAAATTATTTAATCGCATGTTTATTTTTAAAGGCCAGCATTTGAAAATCACTCTTGTAGCTATCAGAAGTACCCTTTTGAAACCAAATATACATATTTACATAGGTGAAAAGTAATTAAGTTTGTCAAGCTAGTATTTTATACGGCCTTCATAAACCAATGTTTTGTGTTGAAAATGATGACTGTAATGAGGAATTTCACTGCCGAATATTGGACAGACACTGTGGGCCTCTTGTTATGGTAACTGTTGAACTCAAATCCCAGAGGAGTTACGGAGGAAAAATGCACCAGTAATTTTAAACCTCACAATGATTAGCTTGCGGCTGAAAAACCATGGATCTGCTATAACAGAAAAAAAACCTGTTTAGGAGTATCACTAGGCATCAACTGTGTTTAGACATGACTGGGAGGATGAACAGTGGCTTGGGAATGAAATGGAGATGCACAGCATCATCCTTGATGATCAGACGCGAAAAATAATTTGCCTTTAAAGACTCCAGAGCTGGGAAATATTTGACAGTTTGGAGATTCAGCCGACTGCCGGTTCCTGTCATACACAACTTGCCTGCAAGGAGCCAAAGTGTTCAGCAGATCTGTAGAAGTAGAACAATAGTCCTTTTAAATTGACAACCTTGTGGAGAATGATCCCAACTGGTTGGCAGCTAACTAGTTCCCAGATTAATAAATATCTGGTTCACGTTCAATTTTCGGACCAGAACCTGACAGAGGGTGAGGCAGAGAAATCTTACACCCAACTGGAGGGAAATGGTGAACTGACTGAAGGAAAAATAATCTTGTAAATACACAAGCTGGTTTAGATGTCTCTGAAAGAGGCTGTTAAAGGTTTTAAAAACCCACTTTCACAGAATATCTAATCATGGAAGGGATGAAGAATTAAAAAGATCAATTGAACAGCATTTATTGCTCTTGTTAAATTACCAGTCACTGCATTTTTCACAGTGTATCTTTCAGTAAACGTTTATTTCCAGGAAACAATTGGTGATTGGGCAAAGTGACACGGGTTTGGGACAGATGTGGTTTTATTTTGGTCAATTTAACCCAGTGTCACGTCAGTCCAGGCCTGTAGCCACAAATTAAATTTGTGGGAAGTCTGGCAACCCTACCGCTTTGTGGTCCTCAGTAGATTTTGCTCTGGTGGTAGTGGGAGGTTATCCTCAATTAGATTTTGGCAACTGGGGGGGGACACTTCCCCTAAGTAGATTTTGTCAATGTGGGGGGGCTAAAGCAAATTTTGGGGGAGGTTCAAACTCTAGTAGCTATGTGCCTATGCGTCAGACAGTTGTATTTTGTGAAATGATACAGCTTTGACCAAAAAACAACACACACAGGCCTATTGGTGATTAACCTATAATGAGAACTTTTAAATTTGATATCTATTGTTTTCTGTGAAGTGTTTTATAATATTGGTAATATTTCAGGATACTCCACCAAAACATATGCAGGTTTTAAACCGAAAACTGGTTTTCAAGGTTATGTGAAGCAGGAAAGCATTTTAAAGCAAAATGTGAAAAAAGCAAAATATGTGATACATATGCATAGAAATAAAAGAAACGCAAATTCACTAGGTTGAAAATGTCTTCATTTTATTCTTTGCTTTCTTTCAGAGAAAGTTACATACAGTAGCTTATATGCATGTTCACAGCGTCACTTGTTACGCGTTTCCTCGTAGTCATTTAAAATAAGCTCATTTGCATCTCAGCAGTGTGACAAGATATGTTGTGACTAACGGGTTTTTCTTTTCCACTTCCTTATCTGCTCCCTATGAAGATTTCCTGCATTTTGTATAGATATTTTCTTGAATTATCGTACGTTAATCAAAATCGTGTAGGCATTTAGAGGAGCCTATTGCTTAAGTCATCACTGTCCCTGTATATTGTAGAATCTCCGATTGATTTTACTCCGGTTACCTTTATCGTGCCGTTCGGAAAGTTGGGTGTACCTATATTATTCAGTAAGAAATATAATGGTTAAACAGTCATGGGTAAGACGAACCGACGGTTTCCATTGGGTAGTAAGGAAACTAGCATTTACCATTTGTAACGATAACGATGCCTAAATGCAACACACATGAAGAATGATATGATATGAGGATAGGGTAGCCACGTTCGACTCGGCAAACGGACACAAAAAAAATAATTCTTTCGAGTTAATTAGCTTTCGACAAAATGCCGAAACCCGGGATCGAACCAGGGACCTTTAGATCTTCAGTCTAACGCTCTCCCAACTGAGCTATTTCGGCTGTGCGGTTTTCTTTTGATTGCCCCTATAAAAATAGTAAGGACTATATTTTTAGAGCGATTATTACTAGAATCGTCTCATTTTTTGTAGTGTAAAAGTGTGGTGGATTGCTTTCGGTTAGGTCAATATTGTTTTGCCATTTCTGTTCTAGTTACACGTATCAGTTTCGTTTGCGACGTCGGCACGATGGAAACAACATTCAAACGGCACATATTACCACACATGCCAACCTAGCTGCAGGGAAAACAAGGAGTTGGGTGACGGACGGCTTGTACATTTTGAGCCATCAAAAAAGACTCCATCTACTCAAATCTTTTGTCATTACTACTGCAAAATAACTTGCAGTTAAACAAACACGCCCCCCACATACTGACTGACACCGCGTCTTCATAATGAAAGTGATTCTGTAAAATAAGCTCGTACGGAAAACAATCACCGGCAAATAGATCAATGTGAAAAGTTTAATAGAAGAATAATTTTAGTAATCACATACACAATCTGTAAAATAATATTTTATAATAATGACTGTCTAATAAAAATCACGTCATTAAGAAATGCATTTTATTGAAATAGTCTAAAATAAAATGACACATTTAATTATTGAAATATTAACTTATTTACTTACATTTATAATACATATATATATATATGTATTACCATTTAATCAAATATATATATATAAATTTGGGCATAATACCGTTCCTCAACCGTGCTTTACCTGAGCCAGGAATCACATGGGGTCGCAGTCATCCACACCCCTTTTTCCTGCTACGTCAGAGTTTCACGCTCCCGAAGGCGCAGGGAATGCTGGGACACACGGACTGCTCTTTTGGTTATGATGGAGGTAAACAGACGGAACAGGATCTTCTGTACAATGCAAGAGGAACGACGGTAGTTACTAAACAGTAAAAAGACGGTTAAAGTTGAGAAGGGCTGCGCTGTGATCTGTGAGGTTTACTACAGTAACGCTTTGCGTTAAAACTTGTACTACTCATTGTACTACTTCTTATTAACATGGCTCGTATGTTCGATTGTTAAAGGACAGCATCTCTACCCCAGGCGACACAGTGGGGCCAGAAGGTTGAGTAATGTTCCTTGGTTTTCCTCGAGAAGATGGATGAAAAGTCCAGTAACAGTCGGCTTCTGCTGGCCCTTGTGATGGTACTACTCTTCGGTGTCATCGTGCTACAGTACATCTGCCCCGGCACCGACTGCCAGCTACTCCGCCTGGGCTCCCTCTCCTCCAAAGCAGGCGACGGTCTTAGCGGGTCTCATGGCGCGGATGTCGAGGGCAGCAAGGGATCGGGTGCTGGAGACCCGTACGTGGCTGAGGATAGGACGCTAGCTCGCTACGTACCGCGCTTTAACTTCTCAGCCAGCGACCTCAGCCGAACCGTGGACTTCAACATTAAGGGCGACGATGTCATCGTTTTCCTGCACATCCAGAAGACCGGCGGCACCACGTTCGGCCGACACCTGGTGCGCAACATCCAGCTGGAGAGGCCCTGCGAGTGCCGTGCCGGACAGAAGAAGTGCACTTGTTATCGGCCGGGCAAGCGAGAGACCTGGCTCTTCTCCCGCTTTTCCACAGGCTGGAGCTGCGGGCTGCACGCCGACTGGACCGAGCTCACCAGCTGTGTACCGAGCCTCATGAACACGCGGGAAGCGCTCCAGCCGCGCACTCCCAGGTGAGCAGAGCTTAGTATTAGGGGGACACAACTTAACAATTAAAATCCAGATTTATTGGGAGGATGACTGAAGCCAAATTAAATATTAGGGCAAATTAAATATACACATCCCCCCGCCCCCCCGGGTCTCGTGCCCCTGGGTAAAGGTGACAGTACGTATAATAAATCTTATTTTCTACTATGAACGACAGTAAATGGAAATTCCCCCTATAATGTATGCATATAGTAGGCTCGAGCACTAGTTTGCATTGAGAAATATTGTGTCTAAATTAATATTAAGATATGCCTAAGTCATATGTTTTCTCTCCTGTTCACACCCAAAAAAAACCTGCATGTCTGCATATCTGACGTTTAAGTTGAACAACAGTCCTATATACATTATGTGTTGGGACATAGCGTTTCAAAAGTTTTACGTTTCTCTTAGTATACAAAGCGGGTAATCTGGTTTTGGCGTAACATTTTTAAGTAAATACAGCTTTTCACGGGAATCGCTATTCTGGCGATGAATCTGGACTATTTACTCTGTTGGGTAACTTTATTTTGTAGTTGGCTCGATTCTGATGCTGCAAAAAAAAAAATGATTAGCAGTCACTTCTTACGACGGAAACCCAAGGCGATCGGCAGCGGTTTAAACTCGCTTCCTGTACTAAAGCACAAGTAGGTTGTGGGCTCTTTTCCGTCTCCTCCCCCTTCTTCTGTATGCTGTCACGGCAGAACCTCATGCGCTCCTTGTTTGTCCCCCTGATGGAGTAGGCTGTCGACACGCTGACATCCTTGCTGCCTGAGGGGACACAGGGGACACGCATACCATGGTTTCCATTCTCTCTCTTCTCCCTCGGGACAAAATTTGGGCTGGGGTCCCTCTCACATCTGCTTTGCCACCTTGCACTCCCCGATTTTACATAATGAGGCTTCTCTGACCTTACTTGAATTATTTACATTTCGTATTCATATATGCACCATTTATTTTCTTGGTTGACACTTGGCTTCTCGTTATGGAGCTTAGGGCTCTACACGTGTATCTTTTAGAGTAGCTATCAAACAAGCCTTTTTATTATTAAACTGGCTTTCTGGAAGTCTCTCCGTGGTAAATTTAGTATCGGCTTTTCTTCGCTTGGCGATGTAGACTGTAGCCCCACCGGGGACATCCCACCCCAACCCCCTTAGCGTGTTATACGGGACAACGACTGACTCTGTTCTGTTTTCGATTTCTTTCATTATCCACATTTTGCATAAAAAATCCGTGAAGTCTTCTGGATTATACAAAGAACCCAAGGCTACCTTCAGCCGACTATAAGTCTTATAAAGCCATTTATGAGCGTTCTTTTGAAAAGACAGCCTTTAGGAAATGTTGTAAAAAGGTGACAGTCTGAATGTAAAAGGTTAGCTGATTAAATTGCGTGAGTTGGTCAGAGAAACTTGGGATCATTAGTCTGATTGCAACCCATGACCCGTATTATAGGTGTGTGTATATAGCTGCCCTGCTTAATGAAATAGGAGCTTTTTTTCGACTTCACCAAACCAGTGCTGGGCAATTTAATGTGTTTTTAGTTTAGGTAATAGATCTGTGATTTTACTGTTGTTCCCCCTGAAGTTACGTTATTATGACATTAATTTATCCAAGTACCATGTGACCGTCTCATGTGTATTATTATTATGGTACTGTCGATCTCAAATCCCGGAGGCGTTACAGAGAAATGCACAAGTAATTTTAAACTTTTAAAATCAATAAAGTATCAATAATAATAATTAGTAATTAAAACTTCACAATGATTTATTTGAGGCTGAAAAATCATGGATCTGCTAGAACAAAAAAAAAAACCTGTTTAGGAGTAACACTAAGCGTCAGCTGTGTTTGGACATGACTGGATGGAAGAACATCGGCTTGGGAGAGAAATGGGAGATGCACCGAACCGTCGGCGTTCTGGCCCTGGAGAAGCGGCGTTGGTTACTAAGCATGAAATTCGTCCCTTTCTGACACTTCGGAAATCCAGCCGTCGTCAGCCTTTTGCGGTGATGGTGTCAGGAGCATGTTGTGCCAGCCCAGGTGGAGGCAGTAGCCGCGCGGCGGCGACCTGATTGCGGTTCGCAGTTCATTGCCTTCGTGGCCCCCGCTGTCGCACCTGATAGAGCCGGGTCCCTGGTGCGATCTCCGGGAAGGCGCCCGAACGGAGGGCTCTGCGCCGGCTGCCCCCCACCCCCTCGTAGCATAAATGCGGAATGCATTCTAAAGTCTGCGGGGCTTTGATGTGCTAATTTCTGCATTGTTACTTTAGGCAGTGGATTTAATCGCCGCTGATGGTCCGTTTCGAGGAGGCTTGCATAATAAAAGCTCCCGCGGCTTACAGGAGAACGATTTATTTAAATTCATGGCATGATGGAAGCGAATGGAGGACCCACGAGGTGGTTCTCGAAGCGCCGTCCACCGTGGGGCTGTCAGAATGCGTTCCGTAGCTTTCCTGCTGCCGCCATTGATGCTTTTAAATACTTTCCAGGAAAATAAAGGTTTTTTTACCTGGCAACCAGTGATTTAGTTAAGATATGGATGAAAAAAAATGTTCAAAAGAAAAAGGAGCTTTTTTATACTTTCCTAGGAAGTTTTTTCATATGCAGCCAACACACACATGCGCTGGGGCTGATCTGAACTGGCAGTTGTGCTTTTTGGGGTCTGCGCATGGTTCTTTGTTTATTCCGAGGGAATGTGTGTTCAGAGGATATTTTGTCATTGGATTTGCTTTTCTTTGCTTTCTATGTCCTCCCCAGATGGGGGATTGGAGGTGGTGGATGGGGCTGTAAATGCATCCAGACATGATTAATCGTATTAGTTTATCATTATATGATTAGTCGTGAGGTCTTGGAGTGACTTTGTTGAATGTCCATGTAGGAACCTTCTCCTTTAATATAGTCTCCCTTTTGATTGGCAGAGGAGCGTGTGTCTCTGTTTCTGTGTCTGTGCATGTGTGTGTTTCTCTCTGTGTGTTTGAATTGTGCACATTTGTCTGTGTGGGTCCCCAGCCGGCCTTACCTGCATAGCCCAGCCTGTCAGCTTCACCAGTACCTTTGACTGCAAAGTGATGCTTATGATGTAAAATCTTTTTCAGGGGGCTGCCTCGACTCTGTGTTGGGGGTGGGCTCTGTCTGACCCAGCTCGTGACCTCCGCCTCCCCCCTCTGCCTCTCTGTGCATCACGCAAACTGAGACGTGCAGGTTCATGCACACACACGGACACATTCTGTCCAACGTGCATGTAATGAGAATTTGTGCCCCTTTCTCCCCCAAAACAAGCAGGTCTGTTTGGACGGTGCCTGTTTCTGCAGCCCGTACACATACCCATGCGTCAGCACTGTTCTGATACCCAGCACTGGATCGTTTCCTTGTTTCCGTGCTTGACCCACCCGGCCAAACCACATGCACAAACCCAGCATGATGTGCACGGCATGGCTGCCTATGTTTGGTGATGCAGAAGTGTCACTGAGTACCAGGTCCTTCAGATGTGTTTGCCGACCTGATTGGTTGAAAGGATGGGGTGCCTCTCTGCCGAGCAGCCAGTTTGTGTGTCTGTGTGTGTGTGTGTGTGTTTGTCATCAGAGTCCGCTTGCGAGGTTGGGAGTCCCAGGCATTTCAATTAAAACACGTTTAGCACACGGTATGAGTAAATGGAACACAGGTCCTCTTGGAGAGCATTTCAGGATGGGGGGGGGGGGCTCTGAGTGAGGCTTGTTCATGTCATTGTTGCATATCCTCATTTTCTCCCCTTCTGCTTTGTTGTGACGATAAATCATGGTAAATGTTCCCAGAAAACAAATCCGAGAGATTCGGGAGATTTGTGGAACCAGGGATTGGATAGCCGACTTGGACAGTGTTGAGATCAGATGTGGTTCTGTATAGGACAGCTGTGGGATGCTGAAGGTATGTATTCTCTTCACGGATGTGGGGAGTCGTGCTCCAGTAGATGGGCCAGATGTGAGCCGTAGAGTTGCAGTATGGGTGGGTGGGGTGGCGTGTTTCTGGGCTGGTTTCCGGAGCACTGACAGGTTCTACCTTATGGACTTTCCCTCTGTACACAAAGTGACATTAATACTCTGACTAGAGTTACTTAGCAATATGATTACATGCTGTCCAAATGTGAAATAATACCTTTCACTTCCCATGACTCATGCTATACAATAGTTCTTAAACACATTATATAATAACATCGTTTAACAAGTTACCTGCAGTTGTCAGGTGTGAGCCTCTGCTGCCCCCTGCTGCTGATGTTTATGAATAATGTGCGATTTCCAAATTCAACTCAAACATACAATTATAAATGACTGGAAGTTATTGTGGAGGTGTGACATTCAGCCCCCCCCCCCCCCATGCAGTCATATAATCCATATTTTACAAGGGCAGCCAAGAGATGTCAAAATGTGAATTTAAAATGGTGATTCAAAAATTTCGTAATTAAAATTGAAATCCTAAAAATGGCTATAGAACAAAAATTAATGATTAAACACCTTGAAAACATTGCATTGCAAAATGAGAAGAATTTCCGAGGTCTATGAAATTCAAGACTTTATTTTTTTACAGAAAATGTAGAGCGATGAATGGCATGGCAGACTGTTAAATTAGAGTTTAGATTGGAAAGGAAACTATTTAAAATGCGATTGGCATGGCGACCTTCCTCTGGATACTCCAGAGGAATTTACATAATGTCTGTAAATTGCTCATATTGTGTGACTGTTTGTGTTTGTGTATTCTTCTATGGACTGGCACCTGTGCTGCCCCATGCTGGTGCCCTGTGCTTCCTGTAATAGTCTCCAGGCTCACTGGGAGCCTGTACTGGATAAGTGGTTAGGGAAGATGGATGGTTTTTCACTTTCCCACAATTCATCTCTCCCCCCACTTGCCCCTTCCTCAGCAGGAACTACTACTACATCACCATCCTGCGTGACCCCGTGTGGCGCTACCTAAGCGAGTGGCGGCATGTGCAGCGCGGTGCCACCTGGAAGGCCTCGCTGCATGTGTGTGAGGGGCGTGCCCCCACCCTGTCCGAGCTCCCCAGCTGCTATCCCGGGGACGACTGGTCAGGCTGCACGCTGGAGGAGTTCATGGACTGCCCTTTCAACCTGGCCAACAACCGGCAGACGCGCATGCTGGCCGACCTCAGCCTGGTGGGCTGCTACAACGCGTCGGCTATGAGCGAGGAGGAGCGCGGCGCCGCCCTGCTGGAGAGCGCGAAGCGCAACCTGCGCGGCATGGCCTTCTTCGGCCTGACCGAGTTTCAGCGCAAGACGCAGTACCTGTTCGAGCGCACCTTCCAGCTGAACTTCATCGCCCCGTTCACGCAGCTGAATGGGACTCGGGCCGCCAGCGTGGAGGTGAGCGCGGAGACGCAGAGGTGCATCCGGCAGCTGAACCGCTGGGACGTGGAGCTGTACGAGTACGCCCGCGACCTCTTCCTGCAGCGCTTCCAGGTCGCACGGCAGCAGGAGCGGCAGGAGCAGCGCCAGCGCAGGCAAAGGCGGCGGCGGCTGCGGAGCAGGGGGCCGGTGACGGTGGCGCTGGCCAGGCGGGCAGGTGTGTTCGGTGCCCAGGCGGAGGAGCACCCCGTCCCGGAGCAGAGGCAGGATGGGAAGGATGGCGAGATGGCAGAGTGGATGGAGGCCTGGTGGGAGCTGGAGGAGAATGACACTGTGGACTACCTGGACAATGTGGAGCAGTGGCGTTAAATGGTTAAGTTAGTTGGTTTGGGTGAATTAAACCCATTCCTAACCCTGCTACTGAGTTCAAACTCAACAGTGCGGGGTTTTAAAGAGACTCCTTTATTTATTTTATTTACTTGAAAGGGACATGGAAAACAATTTTTAGAAACTTTCTCCGTTCCACTCCAATCCAACAGTATGTAAGGTCTCCAGTGTGGTCTGACTGCTGCATGCTATCTGACTCTTAAAAACTCACCCATGACTATACTGTACCGTTAGCTTTTTATGTAGGATTTTATTGCTCATTCTTTAATTTCATTATTATTACTGTCAAGGTTGAAATTTCAACCACCTTGCAATTTTTCTCCTCCCTTCATAACCATTGTACTGAATGATCAGTAGTGTCTCGAATATTTCTCTTTTTTTTCCTTTTGAAATCTTTGCCTGCTCAGTGTAACATCCCCTTCTTGCCCAACAGGATACCTGGAATGTGTTCCTTATCACTCACCTGGCGATCAGAATACTGTTTTTAAACACTGCAGGTCGAATGAAAACTGGCAATCTGCAGTCATCTAGTCTGTGGGCAGGTTTTAGATCTTGCCTGTTAAATGAGTAATTTTTTCTGCTCACGTTTCATCTGCAATCCACTCGATAACACACTACTATAGTCTGTGTTTCATGATGCTTCACTGGAATGAACTTCCACCATTACTATTTGCCCTCATCGGTTCTAAAATCACCTTTCCTATCCCAGAACAGGCTTTATCCTGTTTTTAATGAAACTCTTTTGCTTCAGAGCAAAACATGGCAGCCCAAAGAGACGGTCCTGAACACTGGATATCCGGGGGGGGGTGTTGAGTGCCCCCTAGTGGTTAGTGAGCACTCAAGCGTTCACACCAAGGGGAAAGTGCATGCATGAAAATAGCTTTGGTCCAAATGAACATCATAATGCTGATACAGCAAAGACTGTATGCACCCCCCCCAAGCAGAAGTTATGCAGTGATCATGTAATGTTATGGGCTTCAGATGCTGTAACTTGTAACTGGAATGGTGCTGATTCAATCCCTGCAGATGTGCCACTGTTCAATCTGCAAGTTAAGGTACATGCACCAGTTCCCATGTACAAAAAAATGTAGGTTGCTTTGGATGGGAGAAACCTGGTACAGGTAGGGAGTTACCCTGCAGGGGGAGTACAGAGCTCACTGCAAGAGCAGTGCAATATAGCTGTGTTCCACCTGTGGACTTGGATACCCCCCCCCCAGGGGGTTTCAGATCAATGTCTCACTGTTTCTGTCACATGACTCCTGTCATATATTTGGTATGAATGTCACAGTAACTTTTACATTTTTAAATATTTCTTCATCTGCACTAATCTGTACCTTTCCAGAGAGCTACTCATGGTACCTTCAGATGTCATTGTTTTTTAAAAAAAATAAATGATTTTTTTTAATAACCCCCGCACTCGTATTTGTTATTCCTGGAGCTTGTATGTCAGCCTGTGACAACTGAATACTTTGATCACAAATGGTCAACAAAGTATTTAGGTACAAATCCAAGAATCGATGGTACTGGAGTACCCTTGAGGAAGATGATTTAACCTGAAAAGAAATAAAAAAAAAAAACAGCTATACAAAAGGATTTCAGAAACTTTTTTGGAAGAGTTTGTTATGCAGTAAATGTTATATATCAACAATGTCATGAAATTGAGGCAATCATTCTTCATGAAGACATCTATGACTTATGTTATAGTACTACCGAATCAGGTGTTACCTATATGCTTGTGGGCTGTGACATTAACTGTAAGAATTCTTCCATTTCTATTTTCTAACCCATCTTTCCCCAGGTGTGCCTTTGCCCTACTCAAGTTGGCGTTTTGCTTCAAACTGAATGACCTAAAAACTACTTGTGCTTTTTTATTCTCAATGTGTTTGGTAGATCTTTCGTGAGACATCTATGTGAATGCCCCTGCTTTCTCTAGTCTTAAGAATCTTGTGTTTTTAACGTAGTAGTCTGCTTTCCATTCATTTTTACAAGCAAGCGATATTTAACAAAATGAGTGGTTAGCACTGTTGCCTCATCTCTGGGACAAGGGTTTGAGTCTCTAAAGCAGCTCGGGGTTGTGGAGTTTGCATGTTCTCCACATGTTGTCATGGGGTTTCCTCCAGGTACTCTGGTTCCCTCCCCCAGTCCAAAAACTTTGAAGTTAATTGGAGTTACCAAATTGCCCATAGATGAGAATGGTATGTGTGCCCTGCGATGGGTTGACACCTCATCCTGGGTTGTTCCCTGCATTGCACCTGTAGGCCCCAGGAAATGCTCCAGATACCTCACAACCCTGAAGAGGATAAGCAGTAACAGCAGATGGATATTTTGTTTAGGTTAAAATAACCGTCCCTGTCCACCCACTAGAGATGGTCAAAATCAACGACAATGACAATATGACAGTGAAATCAATTCTACAAGTAATTTGGAATTTTTCTGGAAATGCTGCTGCTCTTTTTGTAACAGGTTACTTACAGAATTACTGCAGAAATTTGGTTGTGTACGTGACTAAGACAACGATGCTCTTGGTGCCCCCGGTGGTTATGCATTATTACTGGGCTCGTTAACTTCTCCCAAAAGGTGACGGTGCACTCTCGGTACTGTACGAAGTATTGCATGTTCAACCGTGGTGCATTTAGGGCAAAATCGTCAAGATAAAGACCAACAACGCCGCTTCGCCATGACAATGCTTTATAATCTAAAGACAGCGACGAATAGTTATCTGGAAAAGTGTAGTCACTACGACAGGGTTCATTGATTAAACCTGTCTGGGCACACGCAGCAGTAAGAATCGTCAAGGTATTAACCTAGGACAAAAGACGCAGCCGACCTAGACACGACCTACACTTGAACGGAGAGCGTGTCATCAGCCAGACTAACAAACGCCGAACCGCGAGCACAGTTCGCGTGAGGGAGCTCGCGCAGGTGCGGAGCTGGTGGGCTAGCGTTTCGCCTCGCCGCTCGGTTTCAGTTCGTTCGGGAGGAACTAGACGACCGGAGTTCCCCCTAAAATGGTGGCGACACACGGCCTGGCGTAGTATCACCCGGGAGACGTACGCAAACCAGCACTTTCCCTTCCAACACTCCCTCCTGCCCTCCCCTATTTTGCCTCGCCTCGCCTCTCAGTTTTCGTTTTTTTTTTCCTCCTTACTAGGCGCCAGCATTACATACCACGCTTGCTAGAGCTTATTTTTCAGTTTAACTGGCTTCGTTGTTTAGCTTCTAAATATCTGTTGCTTTTTATTAAGACGTTTATTTGCGGAATCGGGTTGGAAAGTTTCCTTTTTAATTTTAAAAGCCCGTAAGATATAGCAGCCGTCGAACGTGACGTATTAGTGCTCACATAGGTTTATAATACACGTTTAGCCAGCACCTAATGTGTCCGCCTAAATAGCGACCTGAAGGTGGATTTCGGCCGTCTACAGATCACGAACAGGTAAGAGTACCCTTTATCCCCCATTGCATCCGCTTATATAAATTACATAAACCTTCGTCTCATGCGGTTTTTGTTTATCATTGCAACGTGTGGTGTTGGGCATGGATACAGACGATAAGGTATTTTTTATGTATAACGATTACCTTTTCTCGTATGGGAACTACATCGCTTGGTTTGTTTATGGTGCTGGGACAGGCGGCAGCTAACTCGTCTTTAATTTACCATTTGCCATTACCGTAATAGACGAGCTGTGTCTGGGGTAGTGGAGAAAGTACTTGGGACTTTTAAGCATTTGGGACAGGCGTACAACTACTGCCTTAAAGACGTTGCTTGCAGTGCGGGGATCCTGAGCTGAATAGACAAATGTGATGGTGTGACGGATGTTTCTTTTTATGTGTATCTGGAAGAAAAACTCTAAAAGCTGTAGCACATGCACTCACTGTTTTCTTGGGCTTGCGTAGGTTTTCTCTTGACCGACCACATTAAGCCATTTAGGACTAAGAACGAGGATTGCGTATTAAAAAATAACGTATTGCAGTTTTTCTGACTCCTTCCTGCATGTGTCGGTGAAGTTTTGACAACAGAAAGTAAAGAGATCCACCCGAAAATGGTCGTGGTGAGGAGAGAGGAGGAAAAGCTGTTTTTAATAAAGGTCGTTGATTTCGGCGTGTGGTCAATTTGACTATATCCGTGTTTTGGCAGGTGTAATCTAGAGAGAGACCTGAAGCGACATTAGCTGCTGGGCAAATTCTGCGCACCGCCCGCTGAGCCGGGGGCCTGTATGTGCGCTTCTGACCAATGCCTGCCTTCAAACGGGTCTCCCTTCATGTCTGCATTTGATAAACTGCTTCTCTCTCCACTGTTTCCCCTTCTGTTTTGCTCTATAATTCATGCCAGGCCTTTCCGTAATTATGTTTCTTCTTATGGTGCTGTCAGTAGCTGCACCACCTGGGGAGAAAGGAGGGGGGGAGAGAGAGAGAGAGAGGGGGGGGGGGGGCTTCTGCCTGCTTCAGTACCTGTTGCTTGGGAAAAACAGCAAGCGATAAACAAGTAGGCCAGTGGCCCTGTAAGGACTGATGAGGGGTCTGAATTGTCAGTATGCGCTCACACGCTCATCTGCTTACGCACACAGGCGTGGGTGCACTGATGTGTGCCTGCTTGTATATGTTTTTTTTTTTTGACAGTGTTTACATTTGCTCCCTGCATATTTTGATATCACAAAAAACGGGCTCTGATTGTTCAATTTGAAGGCATAAAGGAGTGTTTGTGAGTTGTAGAGAAGCAGGTCTGGCTTCGCTTCAGATCAAGCCTGTGTTGCGACAGACAGGCTGCCCAAACTCCTGGCGAGATGGTTTGTTTGCTAAGATAAAGACCAGAGTCACCAGCTGAGAGAATAAATTGAACTTTAGCCCCCACTCTAGGCGTGTATCCATGCTACACATTCACATATGATTAAATAATATAGCCCATGATGAAGAGCTGTTTTCACAATAATGATTGCTTAGATTTTTCAGTTTTACTTTCATTGATGTTTACCATTAGTATTGATTCATTGCTGTCATCAAAGTGTTTTCATTTCATTTGGGCAATAAAATGACTATAAATAACTGTAAAGCGGTTTTGACAGACTGACTTGTGAAAATGTTCTGTTCTTAGTAAAAATTTCTGTCAGCTCAACGATTTATACTATGCAAGCTGCTGTAATAAATTAAGCTGCTTCCATCCTGGGTGTTAGTGATGACAGTTTCTGGGGTTGGAACCAGAGCCCTATTGCACATTATATCAGATGTTTAACCACTATGCTGCCTGTTTGCGCTAGTAGCATGTGATGTCTGGAGTCATGTCATGCCCTTGTGAGCGCTGACCCTACTAGACAGAAGCAGGATGTATACCCCAAGTCATGTGACCTGCAAAATTGGCTGACATGGATGCCAAGAAAACAGTCATGGTCGCGTGTTTCCAGCAGCCCGCCCGGACTGAGTCACGTAGGGATCAGACTGCAGTGTGGTTGATGTTGTGCAGTGATCATTGGTACGCTTTATACCAAACCTCTGTTATGGAGGGCTTTGGGCCCAGACTCTCTCAGTGCTTACACCGGGTATGGACTTTATGCTGCCTGTCCTGCTTCATTCAGAATAATTGTAATGGTGATGCTAGCCTGCAGTCTTAACGAAAGGGCATTTGTTATCCTTAGGTAATACTGGCTTTTCTGTGACAGAGGAGCAGCCTTGTTATTTGTGGATATTCATCAATAATGTGCATGAAACAATACTGCTGATTAAAAAACAACATATAACATAGAATATTACCCTTTCTTTTCTGATGGGTATATAATAGCCAATACTAATTAGCCTTATTCATTATAGGGTCCACCTATTCCTCTTTTCCAGTGACCAATTATGCAATGCAGGGCTCCTGAAGCACAAGGCAGGCTGTACTTGGGACATTGTTACTGCTTCATCAATGCCAGCATTCACATAAAATCACACGGTGCGTCAGGAATTCAGCTCACCAATACTTCCAACTGGGCCACCATATCCCCCGAGTTCTGGGGTCTTTCTGGAATTCGATAACTCGCGCTGAACTAAGTTTTAAGAATCCATTTAAAGTTGCGGGTGGAGCTTTCATGACAAATTGGGCAATCACGATACACATCTCATTAATATTTTAAGCATACTACTAATTTACTTAGATATATAGACCACACGGTAAAATAGTCGATAGATTAATCCATAGAAAAATAGTTGTTAGTGGCAGCCCCAATGAGTTGTCTCTCAGTTCACCACTGCGTTCCATGTTGTGTTTGTTGCCTGCGGTGCCACTGGTTTCGGTGACCGTTTCTGCTTGTGAACATGGTCTAGCTTCGCTTCAGTGTGGTGTTTCACTTTGTTGTTTGTCCTGCACCTGCTTAGTGTAACCTCGCAATGATGACCTCCCCAATCTCACCCGACCTTGCAGTGACCTTGTCATTCCTCCCATTTGTATACTGCCCTTGGTCCTGATGTTCAGCTTCTATTAATAATTCATGCTGGCTCTGTGTTCTGCATCTTCTTTTGTCTGCTTTTCTCCTGTCACAACAATTCCCCTGCCCATCTATTGTCATCAGTTGGTACTTTTTCTTGTTGGAGAGGAAATACTAGAATAATCCGGATTAAAAAGCATTTTCCGTTGTGTTGTTTTTGGAGGATTTTGTATTTTCTGCTATTTAATTGCCTTGTAACTTTTTTGGTGTACCTGGGTAGGTTTAGAGGACTTGCCTGTTGAAATTACATAGAAATATGAACATTTTGCTTTTTTAACTTGAAGTTTCTTTGTGGTTTGGGTGTAGTTTTGGTACCAGTTTTCCTGATTCCTTAATTGCGGGGCCCAAATCTACATGTGAAAACGGTCTTTTATCACCCAAACACAAACTGCATTTTGGGATTGAATTGAGCTGTGTCATTGTGTAGCTGTGATACCGCTGATGTCAACGTCGTTTTAGCCCAACAAGTTGAACGTGGTGGTGAACCTCTCTGGTTACTTATTCATCACCCAGGACACATACTGATGAGTCATGGCTCGTGTTGTTAGTCTTGGGGTCTTTGCGCTACGTGACAGAAAGTATGTTAGAGAGTTTGAGTTGTTTGTCTGTGAGTCCATGTGCCTGTGAGTGTGTTGTTTGACTTCCTGTGCACACATTCCCATGCATCAGCCTGTTTCTTCTTGTGTATGTCATGCATGTACCTCTCTAACTGTGCGTTTGTCTGTCTGTTGGTACTTGTACCTCTCGCGTGGACCTTGAATGCCAGCCACGTGCCAGTAGGGCAGGTGGCCCAGCAGGTGTGAGTGCTTCCCACAGGCGTCCGTTCGCCACGGTGAAGGTCACCCTTATGCGGACGCCTCCCGCCTCCCCTGCACCTGCCGACATTTCTGACACCTGCTGTTTATCCCGTGCTGTGAGCACGAGGAGTCCGATACCAGTCCAGTTTGGCAAAACCAGCCTGGTCTCTCGGTCCAGTATCATTACTACTCCTGCAATCCAGTTCCGCAACAGGGCTGCTCCTTCCACACTTTATTTCCTGCACAGAACTCTCTCATCACATCAGATTTTAATACCTGTGTTCAGTTTGACTGAGACCAGTCTGTTAATAAAGGTCTATGTCTATGTCTAGACATATGCTTTGCAACTGATTGCAGACTGCAGGCTGTCATTCACGCTTTTATTTTTCTTCTTTTTTATTTTTTGGCAGTTTCCTGTACATAAATTTACACGTAGGTATTTGCACCTCCTTTTGTCTGCAGCGTGGATTATTATGTTTTCGACTTGTTTCTATGTGGAACTTTTACAGATGCCAGCTTTTGCCAACATCAACAGAGGCATGGAAGTTACAGGTCTCTGCCTTCCCTATCGCTCGTTACTATCTGCCTGGATACAGCCAGTCAGCTGCAGGCTGTGGGCGGGCTCACGCTGGCCTTGTCGACAAAGGCTCTTCTGCTGCTGAGAATAATCTGCAGCGAAGGGAGCTGCTGTTTTAATACACTGACACTTTTACAGGCAACATCAACAGAGCCTTTAATTCTAAGACGCTGGCTTTCAGGTGCCTGTCCCCCTAACTGCCATCTCATCTATAAGCCTTGAGACATGTCCAGCCATGCCGGGCCTGGTGTGTCATCGTTGGGCATGGAGTGGGTTGGCGGAGCCCAGGAGAATTGTGTAGCGTCACAACCAGGTGCTGAGGTCTGTCTGGACAGCTGACCACTGCTGTGCCGAGTTCCCCGTTCATACTGCAATCTGTTTCCTCACCCTTCTCCCTCTGTCTGTCACGCTTCCATGTGACATTGCAGAGGGTGGAGTTACTGGCTGCAGGAGACTGCCGCTTTCCCTATGATTTGCGTATTGGAGGCTTGTGTTTGTGCATATACTTTTCCATAATCATGCTAGTCCTGTTCCTTCTGGTTGTGGTTAATGTTTAAACGGGTGAAGGCTCTCAGCCGGCCCTGGGCGTCCACCTAGATAGGTATGCTGCTTTCCCAGGTGACTGCTGTGGTTATTTAATACAAGTTCAGAATTGGATGACATGTCAGTCCCTTTTGGTTTTATTATTATAGCCAATCAGGTTCACCATTACATCACAATGTGTGCTTAACAAGCCCGTACACATGGACACCGCAAGGGAACCTGTATTTGCTGCCTACCTTGTCCTGGTAGGTTTATTAAATCTGCAAAGAGACTTCTGTGATTCTGAATTAGTATTTACGGCACTAGGACATGATGCCTCCATAAACAGGCAGTGTTCCACCCCACTTCTGGTGAATGAGTGCTTGAATATGTGTGTGTACGCTGTACTTTAGGTGGAGCGCATGAACGCCAGCAGGTGGACACATGGATTTTAGGGCAGCTGTCAGCAGGAGAGACTGGTCCCTCCCAAGGTTTCTTCCTTCTCGGGAGTTTTTCCTTGCCACTGTCGCCTATGGCTTACTCACTGGGGGCTTTGGGTGGGGATGCTGTAAAGCGCTTTGAGACGATGTAATGTTGTGATAATGCGCTATACAAAAATAAATTTGTTGTTGTTGATGTGAAGCACCTGGATGATTGATGTTTAGTGTGGCTGGTGGTCTGTAGATCTGACGACATAAGCTGCTGCCGGGTACTGAGAGGGAGGAGGTTGTCTGTATATCCCAGTGGACCTTCACTGGCAGCCTGTGGAGTCACCACAGCATGTGGTCACGCACCAGCACAGCCACGTTATCTCACTCAGTATTTCTGCCTTTGTTCTCATCTGCAATGGTGGGAAATTGAATTAGCACACCCACCCTGTCCCCAGTTGTCCCCCCTCTTTGTTCTCACCTCTCTCTCACTCCCGCCATCCCTGCCTATCTCTGTTGCCATGATATCCTTCTCTTTTCTTCATCATCATCCTCATCACTGAGTGATTTCTCCTCTGCTTCACTTCATTTTGCACTGTCGCCTGCTTCTTCCCATGATCTATGAGGCAGTCTACACCTCCTCTGCTGCCCCCCCCCTCACCCACACGTCTTCCCCGCTGTCCTCCCCATCTGCTGGAGTCGTACAATCCACCTTTTCATCTTTCCCTTCCTGGCTTTCCCCTCCTTTGCAGTTGCTATGCCTCAGTTGTTCACCTGTTGCCCAGTTTTACTCAGGAATCATGCCCGGCACATTAATACCAGCTTGCCCCTGAAAGCTCAAGGCCGTTCATGGCCTTTATGCTGCTGACAAATATCCTGTTGCTGTCCCAGTATCTACGGGGTTAAAGTCAGACTCCTGGGAGGCCACTACCTCCTGCCTTGTGGGAACTGACTGTCACAGCAACCAAAACGTCAGCATTGCTTCAGGTTTACAGTATGCCTGCATCACCAATGTAGGCATTGGGAATTCTGGGAATACTTGAGCTGTAAAGGTCAGACAGATAAATAACTTCAGCCTAGTAGAGAAGCAGTGAGCTGAAGGAGAGAAAATTATATATTTTTTTTCTTCTTTTTTTCCGTCTGGTCTTTTTTTTTTTGCCCTGTGCAGTGAGTAAATCCATAAGTGCTGCCAAATGAGGGAGGAGAGACGGAAACCAATAAAAATAAGATACAGTGGGGTCAGTATCTAACATTGCCTTGCATTGGCCTGCAGCTCCTCTGCATGCTTGTAAAGCCGGAGCTGATTGGCTGGCCCTTCTTGTCCTGCTGAGCAGCTGCGGCATGTGCAGAAATGCCTCCCTCTCGCTCTCTCTCTCTCTATTTCTTTCTCTCTCCCTCTCTCTCTTTCTCCCTCTTCATACCCTCTCCTTCCTCGCTACTGTCCTCGCGGTCCGCCATGGCTGCCGGCCGCCTGCTGCGGGGCTGTGTGCCCCCGGCTCCCTGCCTGAGTGCCAGCCTGTAGTCCTGGTCAAGTCATCTTAATGAGTCTGTGTGTCAGAGTGACTCGCTCTTCCCCTGCTCCTCTCCACCTTTGTTTGTTCTCTCTCTCTCTCTCTCGGTCTCAGTTCAGCTCCACGTGTGTGCAGCTCTTTTTCCCCTCCACTCGTCTACATAAGGAGTATTTCTGTATTTAATTTTTTTCTCTCTCTCCTCAGTGTCTTCTTTTTCGTTCCTATTTCGAGTATAATTTTCATGATTGCTTTCCTCGTTTCTCCCCTTTCCTATAAGTAATTTTGAGACTTTTCTTTTTTGTCCTCTTCTCACCAGTGATTTTAAGGAGGAACTGGATTGTGGAGGTAAGTGTAACAGGACATTGGTAGCTTTAACTGTGTTAGGATGACTGGTGAAAGCCTGTTTATGGCTTTATCATATTTTTATAGTTCATGTCTATGTTTGCCTCCTCTGATGGATCAGTTTTATATGCTAGACAACAGTGGGCTGGGTGTTGGGTGTTTCAGTTTAAAGTTAGTAATGTCTTTTGTCTTTTTTCTTCTTCTTTTGTAGCATTAGATTCCCAAGCTGTATTCTTGCATCTCTCAATCAAGCTCCACCCCCTGCTCCCACAATCCCACATTTCCACTTCCATGGCTGTCTGCATGACCTTGCTGATGGGATGACTCCCCCATCGGGCCAAGGAAGGGGATCCCAAAGAGGACAGTGTATAGCTTGAACGTTGTGAAAGAGGCTACGGAAGGTGTCGGGGATTCAGTCCAGCTGGCCTCTCACCCAGAATGCCCTTGTGACAACACTCACCACTAATGACCCAGACACTCCTGGTCTGCTCTTCACGTTTACTCTTCTGCTGCGGTCAAAGTGACTCCACTCTGAACACGTGGATCTGGGACGCCTGACCAGTGAGAGGAAATCAGGTTAGTCACTCCAAATGTCCGGAGCTCCTCCCTGAAGGAGGCAGCCACTGATCCATTTGGGATATCCTAGATTTCCCGGTTTGAAGTCCTATTGCTGATAAAGCTTAACTCAAATATTCCTGATGACATTTATCTTACTGATAGAGATGATTTCTGATGCAGATCTTAGAAGTGAAGGTAGTACTCAAAACCGTTCTCTGTCATGTGCGTATGATGCTATGATGATACCTGAGACCAAGCAGGTGCACCTTGTAGTGAAGATTCATGTTCCTCTGGGCTACACTCACCCCCCATTACTTGACAGCGCCCCCTAGAGTCAGTGGGCACCTGCAGGGCTGTGGGTGGAATTGGACTAATGTAACTCCCTGGCAAGAGCATCGCATCACTGGATGATACCCACAGCCTGAGTTCAAACCATGCATGCGTTGGAGGAGGGGCATCCTAGTGTGATGAGATTAGCTGGCTTTTCCTAATTTTGAAAGAATATTTGGAATGTCTATATGAATAAATGCGGACATGACGTTTTCATAATGATATGAGTCTCTGATCGTTGAAGCCTCTCTTCCCCTTCGCCACTCTCAGATCTCCCTGTGCTGCTGCCATGGCTGTCAGCGTGGCACTGGGTCGTGACCCCAAATGGCTGACGCTGGAGGTGTGCAGGGAGTTTCAGCGGGGCACATGTTCTCGCTCTGACGGCGAGTGCAAGTTTGCCCACCCCCCGCGCAGCTGTCACGTGGAGAATGGCCGGGTTGTGGCCTGCTTCGACTCGCTCAAGGTGACAAAATCTCTCTCGTGCACACGGCATGCAAATCACAAAGCACATCCTGGCTAAACTTGCGCAAGGCAACACCTTCACACAGACTAATGTTCTGGCATCTGCTTTGATATGCATACATTGTTAGGGGTTTCAATCAGCCTAGACAAGGTAACACAAACACTTGTGCCTGATGATCGCATACAGAGTGACACACAGTTGCTTATATTCTCTGTAGCTTGTACAGATTTCACTGAAAGAGCCACATTGAAGTATGTGACACACAATATTCATCTTCTGGTTGGCAGACCCAGTCCAATAGTCTGTGCTTCCTGTTCCCTTACCACTTAGTATCCTACTACATGTCTTTCTAGCTGTTTGGACCTACATGTGAGATTTTTACTGTCCAGCTTTAGATTCCAAGGGATAAGATCAGAAATTAACCTGTAACACCGGTTTGTTACCGACGGAGAAGCCTGGCCTAGTCTCCGTTTCTGGAGCTGACTTGCAGGCTTCTGTATCTGTTCCACCCATTGGCGTGGAAGCGATGGCAGTTTGCCGAGCTGGCCGTGATTGCCACACTCTGCAGGCTTGTTCAGTCTTCTGCCCGTTTGTGTTCCCCTGATCATGCCATCCTGCCATTTCAGGCTAACGTCTTTTAACCATAACACGTGACTTAGCACATGTTCAGTAGTCCAGCTGTAAGGATGTTCTCATGACATTTTCTAACCTGTGGAACTAGCCTGGCTTAAGTAGGCAAGATTTTTGGTGGCTTAAACGGAATCAGAATTTAAACCCTGATTTAAGGAATTGCTCCCATACTGACGCAGTGCCACTGGCTTGCAAAATGGGTATGAAGTTCTTGGATGCGTTTTTTCACCAGAAGTTTCTTTAGTGTTGCAGTTGGAATTTTTGCTTTTGTTTGGTCGACAGTTTTCCAAATGGCAGCCGTGACATTTTGTCGCACCCAAAAAAGCAAAAAAAAAAAAAAAAGTGTCATGTCATTTTAATTTGTTGCTCTATATCCCAGCAGAGCCCTTGAAGAGGCCTTATACATAATTTTATTCAAATGACCCACAGATTCATGTCCCTCGTGTTTTCATCACAAGTGTCATGTTTGCAGTAAACTTGGCTGTATTTGTTTCGTGCTTGGTCTCTTTTTGTGCGTTTTTTTTTTTGTAGCTCTCTCACCTCGAGTCGTGCTGGTGACTTTTGGGGGCTCCCTATTGGCTGCTCTGTTCCCTTGCCTTTCCGTCCCTTCATGTTAGTGCATCAGTTTGTATACACACCTGTGTGTGCACACTCATACTCCGTCCGCGCTGAAAGTGGGTCCAGTCGAGGCAGATCCAGTGTGCCAGCGGCAGCCCGGGTCGCGTTCGGCTGCTGCTGGCCTGGGTTGCCTCCTGAAGGGCCCCAGCACTGATGATTATCACATCAATAGTCTCCAGCGTGGCTTTGTGCGCTCAGGTGATAAGCGAATCAGGTGTGAGTGGCCTGTAGATGGGATGTCTGGACATTGCCCATGGGCTGAATCGGCTTGGGTTGGGTCTCCATCGCATAGGTGTGGACCGATGTTGGCTCAGAGTCTTCTGGAATATGTGCTGTTTGGTGGTGAAATCACTTGTTGATTATCTGTACCACAGTATTTGGTTTTTAATGTAATGTTACACACGGATAATGTGCATTTTGCAAATCGGAAGTATTATCCCCCCCCCCACCCAACTCCCCACCTTATTGTTCACAGGGGCGCTGCACACGTGAGAGCTGCAAGTATCTTCACCCCCCACCGCATCTGAAGACGCAGCTGGAGATAAACGGACGCAACAACCTGATCCAGCAGAAGACAGCGGCGGCCATGTTGGCTCAACAGATGCACTTTCTGCTTCCTGGTGCCCAACTGCAGCCAATTGTGAGCTTGTGCAGATAAAGGGTCTGCTGTCGGGCCTTGAGGGGGGTCTGTCAGTCGTGTTTTCCATGTTGGTGTGTCTTCCTGTGATGAGGGCACATTGGCACATGCGATGGAGATGTCGTGTAAGCCTACAGTATTGTTTTTTAAATTTGTTGTCTGATGTTTATTAGACAGGCTTTTGTCTGTGGTAGCCTGCAGCTCTTAAAGAGCTGTGTTTGGAAATTTAGAAAATGGCATTAAATTGAGGCAGGCATAAGGTATATGGACTGCAGGCAGGGTAGTGCTGATCAGTCCCGTGTCCCCATCTCACCACAGCCCGCCTTTCCGGCCGCACCCTCCCTAGCCACCAGCCCCAGCATGGCCTTCAGCCCCTACCTGAGCCAGGTGAGCCCAGGCCTGGGCATCATGCCGGAGCTAATCCCCGGGGGGCCTCTGCTGGTCCCCGGGAGCCCTGGGAGCCCTGGCAGTGGCAGCCCCACACAGAAGCCACCTCGCGTCGACAAGCTGGAGGTAGCGTAGCACACCGGCTAACCCGGCATTCGTGGCTCCTGGAGGTCGCAGGGTCTCTGCCTGCAACCGGATTGTTTACAGAGTGGCAGTTAAAGGGCAGAAATGCTCAGCAAGGAGCTGAAAAAAGCCTGATCTAAGCAGATGACCCACATGATTTAAATTGCGACATAGGTTTGTGTGCCGAGCAGTGGCCTTTGTTTGCCGTGATGGATGGTAGCGATGATGGTGTACGCATGCGTATAAATGCGCTTTGTAGGATGGAGCAGAGCTACATTACACAACGTGGCTGTTTTCTTTTTGATACCCTTCAAACACCTTTGCAGGTTTCGCTGGCTGGTCACACGTTTGGGTTACGTAAGGCGTGTAAACGTTCCGGGCCCTTGGCGGTGGACTCACACCCTCGCTCCTTTCCCCAGGTGTGCCGGGAGTTTCAGCGCGGCACCTGCACACGGGGCGAGGGAGACTGCCGCTATGCCCACCCGCTGGAGGCGGCCAGCGAGAATTTTGTGGTGGTGTGCATGGACTACATCAAGGGCCGCTGCACCCGGGACAAGTGCAAGTACTTCCACCCCCCCGCCCACCTGCAGGCCCGTGTCAAGGCCGCCCAGCAGCAGGCCAGCAGCCAGAGCGCCGCTGCCGCCGGATTGGTGGGTGGAGTAGGTTCCGCCCCCCGCAGTCTCTGCCTCCTGTCTCTGCTTTGGGTGGGAAAGAAAACGTGCTCTACATCTCTGGTAAAGAAGTCTCATCAGTGAATTAGTCATTTTTGCCCAGAGTAATCAAGACAAAGAAAAGCCCAAAACATCTACATTATGGAGAAATTAAGCCTTATTTCCAGTCGCCTTCAGAGGTGCTGCATGAGTCATACAGCAGAGAAGTTCACCCTGAGCAGTGCTCTGTGGGTCACCTGCGGGGAGGCACTAATTTGCCTAACTGACTGTCTTTTGATGAGGGAGGGATGTGGAGTTCCTGGAGGAAACGTGCAGGATGGAGCATGCAGCATCCAGAGAGCAGAGGTGTGATTTGAACTCCTAGCCCTGCAGGTGTGAGACAGAGCTACCTACTGAACCACCCTCTTACTGAATGTCTCCATCAGTGATGATGCTGTGCTTGATGCTGCTCTGGTGGTCAGCTGGAAGTGGGACTCTGAAGACGGATGTGTCTTTGCCTGCTGCTGCATGCCAACTGTCCCGACCAAGCTGATGATCTGTTAGCTCAGGGGCAGATGGTTCCAATAGGGAGGCAGAAGAGAGTACAGGAAGAAGGGATGAAGGACATAGGTTCTGTAGTATTGAGTAGCCCTCATGATATTATCTATAGTAGCAAAAGACATGGGAGGGGTAATGGGGCTGAACTCCTGCGACAGGTGGCTCAGTTCAGCAGCTGTAACTGCAGGAGGCGCTGTAGAGGTGACTTTGAAGAAAGGCACTTGTCTACCGATCAGTGGATTTAGAGCATAAGGGTTTTATGTGTGACAGAAGTCCCTCTGGTGAGGTGTCCTAGTTGTTAAGGGACAATCTGTCTAAACTCTTCATGGTACTTTTCATATAGAACCAAGCCATGGTTCTGTTTGCTGGTTCTCTTGGGCTCAGTATGCCTGATTTAAGTCCCCACCAGTGCTGAAGCTTACCATTGTAATGCTCTGTAGCTGAAAACCCTCATTTGCACTGTAAGCTGTCAGTTCTCCTCAGGTTGTTAAGGTCACCCTCAGTAAGTTTTTCGTATGTACAGTAATTCACCACGCGCTGCCCGTTTCGCTTTCCCCTTGTCGAAAACCTGACCCTCTTACATTATTGATCGTCATTGGCTGTCTGTGGTCATGTGCTTACTGCCTGGCAGTCTGGTTCTCTTGGAGTGAAATCACCAGGCTGATTGCAGATGGGTAGTTTGACCTTTCACTCCCAGTGTCTCCTCTGACGCCTCCACAATGTTTAATATGTTTATGTTTCGTCTGGCTTAGCCTCTTGGTTTATGTAGGCAAATATTAGCCGTTTAACCACGGAAAACCAAAACCAGACTAAACATTTTTGGGAAAATAATCTTGGCTCTTTTTATTTCTTGTTACTTATTACTTTGTTTTTCTCTAACCAGGCCTTTAACCAAAAGGGCTATTCTCTTTGTAGACAGCACCCTCTTGTGGCCATAGGTGGGACTAGTAGTACTTCAGTGAAATTGCTAAGTTTGCCTGTTCCTTTCGGAGGCGCTCCTCATGCTGAGTGCAGCTGGATTATTGAAGGCATCATACTTACCTTGTGCCCTGCCACACATTGACAGCTTTGCACTCGGGCTGAGCCCTGGTCACATCATGGAAAATGACATTAAATCAATATAGTCATTACGTGTGAGGAAGTGTGACACTGAATCGCCCCTTGTCCCCAGGTGTTGCCCCATGGCTCCCTTCTGCCCATCCCAAAGCGGACCTCTGTGGAGAAGAGCAACGGCACCACCATCTTCAGCCCCAGTCTGTTTCATTACCAGCAGGCCCTTCCCAGCATGCACCTGTCGCAGCCTGCCTTCGTCCCCACAGGTGAGCCTTCATCCCCTCGGCACATCCTGCCCTGGGCTTCGCAGATGTACGGCTCCCCCCTCCGGTCTAGTCCCCGTTGGTTTATGGATATGATGAAATTCGCGGGTGACGTAATGGTCCTAGCCAGTCTGTGTGTTCCCGGGGTATTGGTGTGCATTTTGCTGATTGCTCACTGTTCTGACTCCATGTTATTTCCTTTTAAGCAGCAGATGCTGACTCCAAACTAAGACCGGTTCAAAGCTTGTGCCATGAGACGGGCCCCTGATTTTAATTTAAAATTTAGACCGCAAATTAGTTGCTTACTGTCCAATGAAAGGAACAGTCATTTTCTTCTCTCCCTTTTAATATTGACTTCTTGCTTTGCTTACCCCCCCACCCCCCACCTCACTCCAACTGTCAGATGCCTCATTCTGACTGTGTTGCTTTAATTGTTTTCATTTTGAATTTGAATGTCATTTCTGGTCATCACTGTTATTGAGCCATCGCAGTTTCCTTGTTTCATCATCTCAGTGTTTGTTGAAGATTTTTAATCATAAGCCTTATTTTTGATTCCCTTTTTTTTTGCTCGCATGCATCCTGTCTGACGCGTCCATCCATGTCAGCGGTATCATGTCATGCCGCGTCTCGCACTCGTCCTATGTTGCTATGGTTACCTGAACCCACCTCACCCCGAGCACCCTCCTGCCCACCCCCCTCCCCCCGTTTCTCCTTCAACCCGCTCCAGCAGTCCCCATGATGCACGGCGCCACGTCCTCTTCACCAGCGTCCACAGCAGTCACTGGCTTGCCATTCAGCGACTCCGCCATGTCCTCTCAGGTTGGCTGTCCCTGTTCTGCCTTCGTGCTGTTAGCCGGCGTCTCATGCAGCAAGGATCTGTGCCGTCTCTGACTGGAACAGCTGCTGCTTGAACTCGCGCCACATTAACACGTGCGCATCTAAACTGTTGACAGTTTTTATCATTCCAAACCTTCCGAACGATTAGCCACTACACTAACCTGTAAGTTACATAACTTTGTAATGTTACAATACCGTGTAAAAGCCTCAGGCCAATTTTAAGTGATCACATTAGTGTAAAACTATGATATGTCTGTCAAAGTGTATAAGCTTAACCATTTCGAAACCTCTCCTGAAGTGTTAGCAGTAACCATTCAGTGCATTGATGTTTTTTTTTTTTTTTTTTGGCTGATCAATACCTCAGTGAGTTAGTTAAATAATTAAGGTAATTAAGGGAGCTGGTGGTGACATTCATTGAATTCACGGAATGACTTGGATGCTCCTGAGGGGAGATCTAGCTGTCCAATAAGGTATCAGTAGCTTTTTGGAGAAAAAAAATCTTGAGCGAATGTACACAAACCACACAGACTGACAGCTTTAAACTTTTTGAGTGCCTAAGACTTTTGTACAGTAATGCGTTTTGACAAAATAGGCACATTGAACAGAAGCCCTGTGTGTTACGTGTTAGTGGGTATGCTGTGTATCACATGGTAAATGTAAGTAACGTATGTTTTAATTATTAAACCTTCTTATATTTTATCATGAAGTCGTGTTGAGGGCAGGACATAATCAGAATTTGGGGACTAAAGCGAGTCTGGTGGTTTGTCTCAGCAGGGGGCTGGGGGTGTCTCAGGTTGCCCAGGTTCCTCACTCTTCCTGACCCTGTCTTCCAGTAGAGCCGACCAAGATTCTGAGTGCCATGCTGGCCCGGCTTAGCAGCTCCTCCTGCCCTTAGTCCCCGTGAGCCCGATGAAACCACTGCCAGACACCCGAAGGATCACCTCCAGACCCCCCAGATGCACGGCTCGGAGGAGATGCATATCTCTGCTTATGTAATGTTCTCCTTGCACCCCAAGGCTCACCGTCAGCACGGCCCAACTCCCTATTGCATGCCAAAACAGGAAGTTCACCTTGCCGCACTTCCTCTGGACACTGCAGCCAACTGCTCACATTCCAACCAGTGCTTTGTATAACTCTTTACGACCTGTGGCACATGACTGTTTACCTGGAATGTAGGGAACCCCAACGGTTCTTGTGTAGTCTTGGTTTGCTGTGTGTCCTCTTTAGACTGTAGTTTGCAGCTCAGCTTTGCGTCCTCTTTAGACCATAGTCTGCAGCTCAGTTTTGAGTCCTCTTTAGACCGTAGTCTGCAGCTCAGTTTTGCGTCCCCTTTAGTCTGTAGTCTGCAGCTCAGTTTTGCGTCCTCTTTAGTCTGTAGTCTGCAGCTCAGCTTTGTGTCCCCTTTAGTCTGTAGTCTGCAGCTCAGCTTTGCGTCCCCTTTAGTCTGTAGTCTGCAGCTCAGCTTTGCGTCCCCTTTAGTCTGTAGTCTGCNGTCCCCTTTAGTCTGTAGTCTGCAGCTCAGCTTTGCGTCCCCTTTAGTCTGTAGTCTGCAGCTCAGCTTTGCGTCCCCTTTAGTCTGTAGTCTGCAGCTCAGTTTGTGTTCTCTGAGCAGAGAGCCTTGGCTTTTAGGGTCATTCCTTAGAGCTTTTGTAGTTTGAGCATTGACCTGAGGCTTTCATGATTTTGCAGAGACCTGTGCTTTAGGGTGTGTGTGTGTGTGTCCCTGGTTCCTACATCGTTACCGCTATGCTCCGCTGAAGCTTTCGTAGGCTGGGTTAGGGGACTGGCCCATGGTAGTTTGTGTGCCAGGAAGCTAAGCTTCCTCTACACTCACACCTTTTCCCTGAATGTTTCCTGTTTAATTAGAACCACCCACCAGAATTCCTTACAAGAAGAGGAAGACTGCAGTGGAGGCAGAATCCGATTGTTTGACTGGGAATCTGTTTATCTTTGAGTGGACTCTCTCTTGGCTGTGTTGGTAATACCAAGAGCCCCCGTCCCCATGACACAATCAGGCCAGATGAGTGCCAGGTCATGCTGGTTTCCCAGTTAGGCTGGTCTCATTGACCAGACGTGCAACAGGACTGTTCACCCCTCTGAGGCGGAGGGACACTTGTTTGCCCTCTACGCCTCATGTGTGGAGCCTTAATGACAGGAAGCATAGCACAGAGGACCGTCACAGATCGCCGTGCTCATTGCACTGCTTTGCTTTTTATGTTTGTGTCAATATTTTTATAATGTCATTGTCTTATTTTGTGTACGGCTCGTGGAAGCCATAGCATGTGGGGGCCTTGAAACGAATACTGAATTTCTAGACGTCGAGACACACGGACACAAACACTTGGAGCAGCCCTTTCCTGCTTTGGATAGGGCTTCAAACTCGTATGGATCTATTTTTGTGTGCTCGGCTGAGTGGGTCTGGATATTGCAGCAGCTCTTGGCAGGCAGACTGCCTGCAGGCTTTTGTTGGATGCCCTTCAATCAGCATGTTCTAGAAGCCAAGAGGAAAACAAACCAAGCAGATTAAAAGAAAAGTGTGACATAGTGACTAAAGCAGGCAGCTGAGTGAGACAGGTCTGCTGCCCCAGCTGACTGGATTTTTGTGTCTGAATGCTCACCGGGTCTCGCTGTTTGTCTCTCTGTCTGTGTGATAATATGGATTTTTGCCTTGTCCAACTGCTGTTCAGCTGGAAACACAGAATACTTGATGAAACCTCCCCTAGTGTGGAGATCTTATACCTTTTGTCAGTACGCTGACATCTCTAGCAAACGTGAGTTCATTAGTTTTCTAGGAGAATTTATGTATAGGTTCACTTATAACCTAACTGGCTATTTTGTTTATAGACCTTTTATTTGTCTTGTAAATCTTATTGCCATTAGTATTATTTTAGTTCATAAGTGTTGAAAATCTTTTTAATGAGAGTGAAGCAGTGTCTGTTTGGTGGGAGTATTTGTGACTTTTTAAATGATTTTTAATTGATTTTACATTATACAAAAATCTATAGCATGAAACGTACATTTATACATAGGTGTGTAGTTTGTAGTTTAAGAAAAACGAGAGAAATAAACAAATATATTAGATGTATACAAACATTTGTATGTAACTAAACAATGATAGATTCATTGTTATAATCGTAAGTTGTTGTTGCTGTGGCAACAAAACTACAACTTGGCTGCATTTGTATGCATTAATTGTGAATTTTATCACACGTATGTTTAAGTAATGTACAAGTTAAGTTATTCAAAGAAGGATGGCTAGTGGGACAGAATTTGATAGAGATGATTTTTTTTTTTACCTTAAATCCAAAGGTCTTTGGGTACATATTTTTTTGTTTTCCTTTTCTTTGTGTGTGTAGTTTTGTTTGTGTGACGTCACAGTCGACCAATCCTCAGCATCTCAGATTCACTCATTTCTCATGTTATCAGACGTTGTCTGATGTAGACTTTCTACACAGAAATGCAGAGCAGTCTGAAGGCCCTGCGGCGTTTTTGTCCAGTATCGCCATTCATATTGTGTACCTGTTACATGAAACCGATGGTCCATCTTATCCTTCCTGCTATGCTTTGTGTGGGGGGTGTGGGGGGGTGGGTCGGTGGGTGGCCTCATGCAGATTGTTTGCACTTATGTACAGAAACAAGTCTTATTTTGTTTGTTTTTTTAAAAAGCAAGAAAAGATGAGGCCTGTGTTCTTTATGCGGGTAAACAATGATCTTTTAGAAGTTTTGTAGAAGAATTATTTGATTTTTAGATTTTAATTTTGATTTTAATGGCTTTTGCCTGTTTCTGAAATCTTAACTTTTACCTTGCTAATGAGACTGTCTGTGTGGAGAAGCACCTGGAAACTGCAGTGGGTGTGGATCGGAGCTGAGCATGACTGTATGGAAGAGTGTGGGTGGAGCTTATGTGGCAAGGGGTGGAGCAGCCCAGCACAAGGGCCTCAACCTTACACCTAGTTGTCGTTCTGCCAGAAAAGCCATTATATCCTGACACAAACTGCCAGGGACAGAGCCTGCATTGATTTTTTTTTCCTTTGCCTTAATGGCATCTTTTGACATGTTTTAGCCAGTGTGCTAGTTAGCCAAACCAAAACAAGTGCCAATTCCAGTAGAGGAGAGCTGAGGAGCTCTGACTGCTGAAATAAATGTGCAATCTGGGGTCCTGCCATTGGCAAAAACGTCCCTGCATAATATTTTTATTTTTATTGTTACTTTTTTTTAAGAAAAATAATTTACAACACGTCTTTGTCTGGAAGAACTAACTAAAATACGCTGGGCATTGAACTGCACTGAATATTCCTTCAGGCCCAGGTTGGTCTGCACTGACCCCTGCAGGCAATCTGGGGAATAGCATGGTAACCAAAGTTAGCTTGCTAGCTCTTCGGACATCCGAGGTAATCGGCATATAACTTGTATTGTTTGCCTTGTGTCTTATCGAGGGATCTTGTTACTTTGGCAAAATCATGGCAGCGGAAAAAGGGCGCTCGCACGGACCCTGCCAATCAGAAACGGAAATACTAATTTCATTTAAATTTAGAAGGCAAGCACCCAAGGTCTCACTCTGTGGAATTAAATCAGGGTGTACTCTGGCTCAGATGAAACCTGTGCAGCTGGGTGAGAACAGGAGGCTGATGGGTACCAATTATTCATTAATGTGTTTTATTTAGGAGACAATTTCCACAAAGGTATGTGCAGTTTTTTATTTTATTTTTTTTCACAAAGAAAAGCCTTTTTGAGGGATCTTGTACATTCTGTTGGAAGCCGATGTAACAGTGCTGGAAGCCAATGATTTTGTTGCCATGGCAATTGTACCCTAGCTGTGGGGGGAGGAGTCATGCCAGGCTGCGACTGTAAGAAGCAGCCCTTTAATTGGTGGAAGGAACTCGCTCCATCCAGCGGAGCAGAGGAGCAGTCACAGTTGAATTTATTTCCACTGTGCCCCGTGGGAAAATGTACTGTGCCGGGGTGGATGGACCGTTTGCCTCTATGTGCATTGTGGTGCAAGAGAATATGGCTTCATCATGCCACCCCAGCTCTGGCTGGCAGAGAACAGAGGATCAGAGTGAAGACAGACCAGGCCGATCAGAAAGCATTTCGGCTTTAGAGGAAGGAGGCAGCCTGGCCCAGAGTTCATCAGATTCTTTCAGGGTGGGGGTCTGCACCAGTGTTTGCATGTCAGGCAGGACATGTGTTACGCATTAAAGCCATATCTGAAAGGCTCCTCTCCCCACTGTAGGACATTAACAAATGAGAAGTTTTCTGTTTGTTGCTTATATTTCGATGGCGGGTATTGTTTTCTTCCTCCGCGTTTCACATAGCTAATGGTGAATGTGTGTAAGTCA